CAACATGCTAGTAACTTGCTAATCATACTAGAAACATGCTAGTAACTTGTTAATCATGCTACCAACATGCTAGTAACACCCTAGCAACCACCCTGAGTACCCTAGCAACCGCATGACAACACCTTAGCAACCAACCCAGGTACCCTAGCAACTGCATAGCAACACCCTAGCAACCAACCCAGGTACCCTAGCAACCACGTAGTAACACCCTAGCAACCACCTTGAGTACTGTGCAACCGCATAGCAACACCCCAGCTACCCTAGCAACCGCATAGTAAGACCCTAGCAACCACCCTGAGTACCTTAGCAACCGCATAGCAACACTCTAGCAACGGCCCTGGGTGCCTTATCAACTGCATAGTAACACCCTAGCAACCACCCCAGGTAGCCTAGCAACCACCTAGCAACACCCCAGCTACCCTAGCAACCGCATAGTAACACTTTAGCAACCACCCTGAGTACCTTAGCAACTGCCTAGCAACACCTTAGCAACTACCCCAGTTACCCTAGTAACTATATAGCAACACCCTGTCAACCACCAAAAATACCCTAGCAACTGCATAGCAACCTCTTAGCAACCACCCTAAATACCCTAGCAACCGCATAGCAGCACCCTTGCAACCAATCCGGGCACCTAAGCAACTGCAGAGCAACAGCCTAGCACCCGCCCCAAGTACCCTAGCAACCACATAGCAATACCTTAGCAACTACCCCAGGTACCCTAGAAACACCCTAGCAACCACACTAGAAGCCACCCCACGTACCCTAGCGATCTGTTTTTCTATGTCTGTTCTTCTGATAGACTGTATTGCCTTCAAAACATTCAAACTTTAAAACTATTTTAAGTATTTCAAACTACTTCAAACTGAAAACCTTCAAACGTCCAGCTTTTACAAACTTTCTGGCTAGGCTTTTTCAAGCCAACTTAAAAGTTTGTCTACGAACTTTACTATCTAGTTACACTTTTGAAAATGTAATTAGTAGCTAGTAATTAATTACTTTTTGAGAGTAATTTACCCAACAATGCTAAACAGTATTGTGTAGTGTAATACAATGTAATAAGTTACAAATTGTATGGTATGCTTTTTATTTGAAAAAGTGTAAAAATTACACATTTATTTATTTATTTATTTATTTAGCAGACGCTTTTATCCAAAGCGACTTACAAACGAGGACAACAGAAGCAATCAGTTGTAGTATTAAAACAACTAAAAACAGATCCAAAACTAAAAGCTAAAACTTTATAAATACTACTTATACACATTTTCAAAATAAAGAAATTAAATAAAAATGACAAATGCATACAACAAAATTTCAAAACTTAACATTTAAATGAAAAACAAAAAATAAAGCTAAAACCAATTCAAAATAGTAAAGAACAAAAGGTATAAGAGTATAATAATGATTCTAACATAACACTAAGCCAAACACCAAAAAAACAACTACATGTGTGTATGTACAACCACAAACACACACACACATATAAATATATACATACACATTTATAAATTCAATATATATATTATTTCATTTCCATTTAGTTTGTTGAAGTATTCAAATAACTCAAATAACTTTAAATAAAACTAAAAACTTAATAAAAGACCTATACAGACATAATAAATTCAGACATAATGTAACTAAAATTAAAA